AAATTTAATTTTCCATAGTAACTTTAAAAATTAGAGTAAAATATATTGATTACCCTTCAGTTATATCTTAATTATACGAACCTCCCCTCTATTTTGAAAATATACAATTTAGTCCAATATGTTAACACCGTTAAGAATATTCTCAAAAGATTCTAAAAACATAATTTTTAATTAAAATTTATATGAAAATAAATTTTATTTACTATTTTACCCCATTCTAATCAATCCCCAAAATTTATATTAAACTATATTTTATTTTATTTTTCCTTATTTTATTTTCTTATTTTTGCAAATAGTTATTTGCTTAATTTTTTCAATCTAAACTTAATGTGTTTATAAATGTTTGTAGAAAAATGTGTTTAACAATTTTAAATTATAGATTCAAATGACTTACACAATCTATCAAACTTACATAGTTTATACTATATAGTGAGTAAAAATATGTGCTTGATATATATTTTTAACCATTTAAAAAAAATAAAGAAATTTAAAATATGATGAAAAATTAAAATTATAAAATTTTACAATAAATTCAAAATTAGTAAATTTTATAATATATTAAAATTTTTGAAAATTCATGTATTAAAAGCAGTTTTTGGTTGGATAGTTTTTTTAGGAATATAAGTGTTTAATTAATTCTTATGATAAAGAGGGGTATTTTGGTAAAAAAAAAGAGCTTAAAAAGTTAAAATTAATGGTTAACTAATAGTTTGGACAGATAGAAATAAAATATCAGTTATACAAGGGAGGTTAGTGTAACTTGTATTTTAATTTTAAGGGAGGTTTCTATGGGTTTTCAAAATAGAAGACACGCCTATGTAATCAAGGTAAAATTGAGGGGTGGTTAGAGTATTTTACTCTAAAAATTAATATGAAAATATAAAATCAAATGCAACAAAAGAAAAACAAGATATATAATTTCTCTTGAAAGTCTAATTTTCAATAGCAGCTCTAAAAATTAATATTATCTCTGGTTCTAAATATAAAAACTTAATATATTTTACACTATCTCTTATATCTTGGGGGTATTTGGATATCCCAATAATCACTTTTGAGAAGCACTTTTCCGCAAATCAAGGCAAATTTCTCCACATATTTATTTCGTATACCGTAAAAACACTTTTGAAACCATGATTTTGATCTTATCTAAACACCTCTAGGATAGGAGGTAGTATGAAAATATGAAATAGAATGCAATATTAGAAAAACAAGATATATTCAATAAAAGATATGCATAAACAAGTTTCTTTCTTTGAAAAAAAAATAAATTATTTTAAAATGGAAATACTACCTCTGGTCCTTAATGTAAGACCTTGTTTGAATTTTATTTTGGTCCTAAATATAAGATTCTAATCTACTTTGTCTCTCATATTTATACATTTTTTCAAAATAGTCCTCTTAATAATGGTAGTTATAGCCAATACACTTAGTTGATAAAGATATTTTAGGGAAGATAACACATATTTATTACAAATAACTAACTTAACTTATTTTTTTAATCTTCTCAAATTAGGTAATTAGTTCTTATAATTAGGAGCGGACTTAGTATAATTTGAGAAAGTCTTGAAGAGAGATATTAAAAGAAGTTGGGCTGAAATTGAATTCCTTTTGTTTGATCATAAATTCAGCTGCTAATGCTGCCAAATTTTTTAAACAAAGTGGAAATCTTCTGGAAGCTGTGATAAACAGAAATGTAAAAGAAATTAGAAATGAAAATGAAATGATAAAGTCAAAAGCATAATTGAAATTAAATAAGGTTCAAAGAAAAAGAAAGAAACAGCTCAGCCCTAGCCCAAGAGAACAGGGTAGTAAAAGAGATATGCCAAACTATGAAAATAAAGATGGGGTCCTGAGGCTTTACTCCTTAGGGAGGTGGTTTCCAAAAGCAAGAATCAGATAAAAATTGTTGGGTTTTAGTTCTTTCTTCTTTTTCTCGTCAAAATTTCATATATCCATCCTTAGATTAGAAAAATAAATAGTTCAAATTTAATATTTTTATAAAATTATTATCATGAACATAAATAAATAAATTTGAATGATTAAATAACCAGGGGTTGAATTTTTAGTAGTGTGTATGAAGAGAATCTCGTAGTCAATACTATTTTTTAAAAAGTCTACCGTATAAAAGGACTAGTTAGCCTCGTTCAACCAAAATTTTGAGCTATTGAAGTATGATTTACACAATTCATTATTGCAGTACAATGAAGATGAAAAATTTAATTTATAAAATATTATCATAATAATCTTATAAAATATTAAATATGAAGGATGGAGATGAGCTACTGGTAAGAAAGAGGAAAAGGAGAGGATCTTCTTCCAAAAAGGTTATGATTTCGATCTTTAATTTTGTGTCCTAATCAATGAACTAGGTGGAGACTTTTTCCCCCAGCTGCAAAGCCATGAGTTCCACTAATTGATTGTAAAGCTATTGGCGCCATAATGGCACTTACGCATGCTTTCTTCTTTTACCCGTACGTGTGTTTGGTACAAGTAAAGTGGAGAGGAGAACTGAAAAAATTTTAATAGGTTGAATTTATAAAATTAGAGAAATGCATTTATAAAATTTTAATAAAAATAAGATGTAAGGTAAAAACTTTTAACCTTACTTTCTTAATTTTTTAAAATTAAATCTATTAAAAATTTTCCTCCTCTCCCTTTCCTTGTATTTTCTTCATTCCAAATAGAATAGTACTTCATCGTTGCCATTGGAACAACCTTCTTCTAAAGAGGAGAATGATCATACCAACAATGCTTTAATTTAAAAATACTTTTAAATCCCATAAACACAATGGTCTTTATGGAGGAAAATTGTTCATCCCAGATGGAAGGCTGGGCGAATTTACCCATGCTACAAAGAGTTAAAAAAAAACCCCTATAAAGTAAAAAATATTTACTGAAATATCTTAAAACCGTTCAAACAAGGAACAATTTTGAAGTTGTTAAGAACTCGCTTTTAAGGCAACGAAGTTTACCTTATTATTCTTCTCTCTCTCACGTCAAATCAGCTTCAATTTTGACATTAATTTTTTTAAATGAAAAGATAAATTATTTTCTCGAGAATTACAATGAAATCCTAAATAAAAAAATAATTAAAAAATAAGTTTTAGAAATTGTTATTTTTACTATAAAACTTGTTATTATAGGCGGTTCAGATTGTTATTGGAACATTTTAGTAATTGTTTCTCTTCTATGAGGCTTGATTATAATTCTTCCTTACTTCTATGTCCTATCCTCCCCTCTCTACCAAGAATGAGTTGTTCGCAATTTTAAAGTTGATATTTGTTTGAACGATGTTTAAGTATAACATTTAAGTAAATACTTGTCATTTAATAGGATTTGGGTAATTTTTTTTTTCCTAATTATAGCATATCGATAAATTTGCCGCAAAAGCTGACTTTGCAAAAACTTATTTGACTAGGTCTTTTTCTTAATTATATATATATTTTCAATCTCAGGGTAGAGCCAATTTTTTTGTCCCAACTCCTTAAAAAAAGAAGTGCAGTTTTCTCACCACCAGTCGGCAATGTTTATTATCTTAAAGATAAAAATTAGTTTAAATGACTTTGGGGTGTGAAGATTAAGGTATAAGGTTTATGTGAATTGAAAGGGGGGAAAGTCTGTGAAAATGATTTGGTTTTGCTTGGAAAAGCTTTGTGAAGCCGACCAGCTAGCACTTCCGTGTGAGTTCTGTTTGGGAGTGGAGACATAAAGGCCTCATTGGTCGGCCAATGTTTGAGAGTGGGCCGAGGAGCCGAAACGACCACTTGAGTCCGGAGTTGATTGCATTCGTCGTTTGTTATGTGTATTTAAAAATTGACAAAAACTTCGTTTAAGACTTGTGGCCTACTGGCTGGCATGCACTATGCTGACAGCAAAATAGAAGTTCGAATAGGCAAAGACCAGAAGGGATACACAAAACAAAAATGGAAATACTCTGAATTTAATACAAGAAATTTATGAATTATAAGAGTCTAATTATAAACTTTTAACTTATGAATTTCCTCAAAAAATTAAATAAAATTAAGATGATATGAGTATAATCCACTACCTCCTGTTCTTAATATAAGACCTTATTTGATTTTTATTTTGGTCCTAAATATAAGATCCTAATCCACTTTGTCTCTCATATTTATATTTTTTTTTCAAAGTAGTCCTTCTAACAATAATAGTTCTAACCAATATATTTGATTAGCAAAGATATTTTACGAAAGACAACACCTATTTATGACAAATAACTGACTCAACTTACTTCCTTAATCTCCTCAAATTAGTCAACTGGCTCTTATAATTAGGACCGGAGGTAGTATCTACAAATAAATAAATAAATAAAAAGACCACATTATTTATAAAACTTGAACAATGCAAGATACCTCTTATGGCACAAAAAAAAGAAGAAGCAATATTCCTCAAACTCTATGAAAAACATGAAGCGCAAAGTCTAATATTAATATAAAACATAATCTCTATTTTTTTTGGCTATCCTTCAATAAAAATAATTTTGACCTAAATTAATTTCTCTTAGTTAATAATATAAATTTTCCATTATTTATATAACCATTATTAAATGTTCTACCTCCGATCCTTAATATAAGAGCTAGTTGACTAATTTGAGTAAATTAAGAAAATTAGTTATATTGGTTGTTTGTAATAAATAGATATTGTCTTTTGTCGAGTACTATTGCTAATCAAATGTCATTTGATAAAATATTTAATATGTGCAACTATTACAAAGATTACCTTAAAAAAAGAGACAAATATAAGAGGCAAAGTACATTAAAGTGTTATATTTAGAACCAAAATGAAAACCAAACAAACTCTTATATTAAACAGAGGAGGTAGTAGCATATTTTTATATTATTTCATTTTAAATAGTATGTAAAATTTTCAAAATAGTAATAAAAAGAGTTACATAATTTACAAATGTGTTACAAGTGGAAAGCCTAATTTACCCTTAATATTGTTGCCATCCTTGTTGCCATCCTTGTGAGTTGTGATCCTACCTGGCTTGTCTCCATCCTGGTATATCATGACAGTTACTGCTTAGAAAAACAGAGTCCTAGTTTCTCTACACATCCAAGCTTTTATTCTGTAGCAAAGGGGTTGTAGAAGATGGCATATTCTTCTTCTGAATCTTGTCCTTCTCATTCACCATCTTTTCCTCTTGAGCCAGACCCCACATCACTGAGTAAAACCCAATTCCTATTATACCTGCTCCTATCATGCTGCATTAACAAATCAAACTCCACGTTTTTAGATATTAAATCCCCCTACTTCACCATTTATGCTCACAGTTCCATAAATTCCCCACAACTTAGATTTTGTTTGTGTACCTTCCCAGATAAAGAGTCTCCCTCAGAAATATGACTCCCATGCCAATTGCAATGACCATCCCTAAAGGGTTGAACATAGCCACATAAATTGGCCCCTTCTTTCGACTAGCCCATGCAAGCACAACACTTCGGATTGATACCTGAAATATTGCCTGCAAATAATGATCCACATCATCACTACACGAACTATATTTATACACTAGAAGTTCTCTCTGTGCGATGCACAGGATGACACATATTAAAATGGTTGATACTACTGAAAAATATTTTATTATATTCTTCCTCTTCTATTGTAAAGAAAATTCATCTTTTGTTATTAGTTTTTGAAAATATGATTTTCTTATATGTGATTTGGACAATAAAGTATAAGATTTAAGTATCTAAAATGTTGACGATTTTACTAAATACTGATTTCACATAAATTTTTTTAGTAAAACTACATATAATATTATTCTCCCTAATGAAACATCAATGTTTAGTTCCAAAGAAATGTGAAAGGTACACTACAATTATTGTGTCATTAAAATAATTAAATTCGCAAAGATACAAAGCAAAGAGGTTAAGTGTCAGTTTCAAGATAACGTATATTACATAAAGCAGACTTTAGGAAATTCCATGAATAATTTGTTTGTGAAACTCCCTTTGCATTTTTTTCCTAATAACATTTATAGTGCCCCTCTACTATCAGTTTCGTACTATTAAATGTCAATTGAATAGCCATTTAATTGCTTAACCCGACCCGTTTTGATATCATCGGGTATTACAAGATTTCATAGTAAAAAAAGTACAAAGATACCAGTGAGCGTTACTTTTGCACCGGCATCAAGTAGCTTGCTTTATTTCTTCTGCAGTTTGTACTTACTGAATAAAATATGGCTACCAATTCCATATCAGGCCTGAGTATCCAAGCTTCAGAAGCTCCCTCTGCAATGAGAGCTACGATGGCAGAAAGAACTACCACAAAACTGCAACAAATGGTTGTGACCATGAACTCTGCGGGATAGTCCTTTAGAACCCAAAACTGCCCATATATTTGAAGATGGAAAGTTTTTAAAAAAAAACAAAAAAAAAACAAAATTATAGTTTCAGCCAACAGAGACAGACTCAAATATTGAGCCTTTATTATTTATTTCATAACAAGTATTTAGTATTGATATTATAAAATAATTCATATTTAAATATTATCAAGTCCTTGAAAAAGTAGTAGCTTAGTATGGTTTTTCCATTGATCATAAGATTCTAAATCAAAATCTTATTTAACAAGTATTGAGGTTCCTTTGATGACTTTGCACTCAATTCAATTGGTTTTAGTAATTACAAAGAGAGCACAGCAACAGAGAGACAAAAGCTTTAAGAATAATTCATCTAACCTTTAAGAATTTTTAAAGATGGAGGAGTACTTTTCAATGATGGAATAAGTTTGAATACCTGGACAACAATTACGAGAGAGTTGCAAAAGCTGGCAATTGAAAGGAGAAAGCCTCCCAGCAGCCAATTCGAATGCTGTGATGAGAGCAAAACCCAGCTCAGTGGCTTCTCTGGTAGGGGCTGAGGAGTAACTGGAAGACCCTTGTATAAGGTCACAATTAATGCTCCTGTGATTGAGACTACTGTTCCAATAGCTTTCGCTTGACTGCTTCGAAATTTCAAATCCAGATTTTCCATCCTGAAATTACACAACATAGAGTTCACTGATTTTTCAGTCCGGTCTGCTGCGTGAATATAATGCAAATCTAGTTTCGTAAGTCCATCAAAGTTCCAGATTAAGAGTGACATCTAAATGCGGCCAAAAAAAATGAGTGACATCTAGACTACTTGAAGTGGCACTTCAAGTGAAGCCAACATGGTGAAGGCAATTGGCCAAATCCAAAACAAAAAAGGGAGTAAAAGATGCAACCAGTTTGATGCTCATCTTTAGGATGAGCATGACCGTTTAGATCTCAGCTGAACATTCTAAACGAGATGTTTTAATAATTATTTTTAAATAAATAAAATTATTTTTTAATAAATTGATAGTTAAAAAAATATATTTTTATTTTAGATTCTATACCTCTTAAGATAATTATTTTAAAAATAAAAAATTAAAAAAATTAAAATTGGATTGTCCAAGTCATATATGGATGGTTCAGATGAGATGAGCCCAAGTTATTCATGAGCATTCAAACCAGTTCGTGAAAGATAGAGAAATGAAAATTAATGGATTGGAATTTTTTTAAAATTAGAAATTTATGAAGTGTTTTGAGATAGAGGGAAATTAAATAAAAATAGAAAATGAAAAGAGAATAATTAAACATTATACTTTAAAACATGATCTTTTTTTTTTTAAATTGGGGATAAATCCCATAATTGACAAATAGTCCTTGACAGATTGCATAAGAAAAAATAAGTTGTTCACAAAAAAAAAAAGTTACATGCAAGGAAAGTTAACAACAACAACAAGCCTTATTTTACTAGGTGGAGTCGGCTACATGAATCACACAATGCTATCGTGCTTTGTCAACAACTCAGTCCTTAGATATATTGTTGACCAGAAGGTGTTGTTCAATGACTTCATTAAGCATTCTTCTCAGTCTTCCTTTGCCTTTTTTTGTGGGACTCCATATTATCTGATCTACCCTCCTCACCAGGGCCTCCAATAGCCTTCTCTGCCGATGTCCAAACCAGCTTAAGTGATTTTCAATTATTTTCTCTTGGATAGGTGCCACACCGACTCTTATTTTGATATTTTCATTTTGAATCCTATCTTTTCTTGTATGACCACACATTCATCCTAACATCCTCATTTCTGTTACCTCAATTTTGTGCTCATGTTTTCCCTTTATTGTCCAACATTCACTACCGTACAACATAACCGGTCTTATAGTAGTCCGATAAATTTTCCCTTAAGCTTTTCAGGTACCTTCTTATCGCAAATAACTCATGTAGCCTTCCTCCACCTTAACCAGCCAGCTTGTATTCTATGAAAAACGTCTCCATCAATTTCTCCATTCTCATGTATAATGGATCCTAGATATTTAAACTTTGATACTTGAGGAATGATTTGATCTCCCATCTTCACCTCCGAATCCTCGTTGCCTTGCCTCCTCCCAAAATTACAATGCATATATTCTGTTTTGTTTCTACTCAAGCATAAACCTTTTGATTCCAAAGTCCTTCTCCATAACTCCAATCTAGTGTTAATATCTTCTTTTGATTCTACCATGAGAACTATGTCATCGGCAAAGAGCATGGACTTAGAGATTCTTTCTTGAATAGGTTCAGTTAGAACATCCAGAACAATATTAAGCAAGTATGAACTCAAAGAAGATCTCTGATGCAAGCCAATCTTAATAGGGACGGAAAGTTAAGTTGCATAAAAATAAGATGGTTTGCATAAAATATTAGTTAAACATAAAATTAATTTACATATAAGAAAGATGACTTGAACATTAAAAAGATGAACTGCATATGAGAGAACTTTGGTTGCACAAAGGGAATACAAAAAAAAAAAAAAAGAAGTTAAGTTACTCAAAATTCTTGTGAGATATAATTTAACTTTGAAAGAATTATAATAAAGTCACAAGAAAAAAATAAAAAAAATAAATCTCAGATATTACTATTTAGGTTGTTATTAAGATTTTTTTAGTAATTATTTTTTTCTTTAAAAATTTATTGTAATTCTCCCTTTAACCTGTCCCATTCAAATTAATCACTCGGCCAGTTGGCCCCACTCTCTTTGTTATATAATACCTGTGGTCTTTAATACAAGACTCCATTTGATTGTTATTTTGGTTCTAAATATGAGATTCAAATTTACTTTATCTCTCATATTTATGTTTTTTTTTTTTTGCAAAGTCGTTCTTTTAATAATAATAGTTCTAGCCAATACACTTGATTAGCAAAGATAACATATATTTATCACAAATAAGTAACTCAACTTTTTTTTTAATTTACTCAAATTAATCAACTGATTCTCGGAAGTAATATAAAACAATAATTTTAGCTTTTAGAGAGCCCTGGTTACTGAAGGCGTGGCTGCAACAATTGTACTAGTACGATGCAACTTGACAGTTGGTACAATATCATTCACGTCCCAGTCCAATTACCACAAGAAAGAAGTTGGGGGGGGGGGGGGCAGCTGTGCTCGATTATCAACTGGCGGTGCATTTTTGTACAGTAGCATATGCATAATGCACTCGGCATTAAAGATAACAAAAACAGGTGAAGCAATGAACATTTTATATAAATTTGTTGTATTTTTTTTAATTGAGTAAAACAGGGAAAAATTCATCCGCCTACTTGGTGAAACATTCATAAACTCATCTTGTAATTAACTGGTTAATTCATTTCCAATCGAGTTCGTTTATTACTTCAATGATTATTTTTAATATATTGTTTCTTCATTATATGGATAAATAACTTCCTTGCTTCGTATTGTATGCTAATTGGGACAGAATTTCCAAGATTCCCACCCACAGGACTAAAAAAGTCGTTTGTGCCAATTGCCACTCCCAAAAGTAAAAGTAATAATATAACCCTTCAAGAAAATATGTTTCGATCAACCAATAACGTGGGACTACTAACATGGTTAAAGCTAAGCAGTTTGAAATCTAGACACGGCGTAGTACTCTTTCTACTATTGTGTTAATATAGAAATTGTTTCAAAAAAAAATAATAGTTGGAATTTCTGAAAGGAATCACTACCTTCGTTTTATATTATAAAATACTTTTAACTCATTCATGCTCATTAAAAAATTGTTTATATTATTATTTTTCAATAGTATCCTTTATTATTATTCTTCAGTTATATCTAACACTTTAATCTTATTTATTTATGATTTAGGATGTTTGATGCACTATAAATAAGATTAAAAATACTGAAAAAACTGAAAAAATAGGTTAAAAATGCTGTATGCACTATAAAAAAAACTATGCTCTTGGATACAACTTGGAAATAACATTATAGTCCGAGCTGCTACTTTACCCTTTATGATATTCTAAAAATATAAAATTTTAAATTTACTTTTTATTAATAACATAATTTTCTTAATATCTAATCTCAATAATTAATCACTAGGATATTTTAAGTGAAATAATTTTAAAAAATAAAGCATATGGGGCTCTGGAAATTGAACAAGGATCTCACACACATATTTGTATGTTTTATTATTTATTACATAAATAAATATAGATGATTCAATTTTTCAAAAGACTCAGCATAAGGAAGAGGATGAAGATTGAAGAAGACAGACCTGGAAACAATGGCAAGGATGAAAGTGAAAGCAGGAACAAGATCCAACATAGCCGAAGACAAAGTGGGAGAGCTTAATTGAATACCAGTATACATCAGTGTCTGCACTGCACAGCTACCATAATAAACAAACAAGCAAGACAACGCAAACAATCAAATTCCACACCTCCTATCAGATTCAGAGCATTTCAGACCCCAAACATTTTTCAAAGAATCCATACCTGAGCACGCTAGACAGGAAGATTCTACCGATAATTGACCTTGAGATTGGGGGAGGAACCACCTTCCTGTGAAAAAGGTTAAATCAACAAAAGGCACGGAGTAATTCGAGCCAAAGCTGTGAAAAAAATTATATTAATTGATGAAATCAAGATGTCTACGGTGGTAACTAGTACAGCAGTAAAAAGACGTAAAAGATGATAGCTGACAGTGAAGAAGATGACGATAAGACTCAAATTAGTCAGAAAAAGCAGCTTGAAATCACACATAATGCCGTGAAAATCGTTAAATCAACAAAAGCAGAGAGTAATTATTCAAGCTAAAGCAGTGAAAGAAATTAAACTGCGTATCGGATTTGATATATGTTCAACATTCGTGCAGAATACAACAGAACTTTTCATCCTTTGTATAAGAAGAAATTCTATTAATTAATGATATAAAAGATCGACAACAATGATAACTAATACAGCAGTAAAAAGACCTAAAAGATGAGACTCGACAGTGAAGAAGACGACGAGGACTCAAACTAACGAGAAAAAACAGCTTGAAATCACACATAATGCTTCTTAAGTTAGGTCAAAAGGAATTGATGGAAATTAACCTGTGATAAAGGAAGGTAGAAGGAAGAAGAAAACAGAGGGCTAAGGCGTTAGAATACACAATGAACACGAATTTGCTCATGCCATTGGTAGTGGCGGCCTTGACTAGAGTGTTCAAGCCAACGTCCGAGAACTGTGCGGCCACCATCGCCATCGTTATCGCCACGCTCGCCATTTTTACTGTGCTCTCTCTGCTTCTGGTCTTCTAGACAGAAAGAGAAATTAACTTTGTTGACACTTGTTGACAGTGAGCGATCGAGTAGTCGTGGTGACCCGCACTAGCACCAGTATGGCTCCGTCGTGATAAATTTATTGTGGTGGTGACGAATCTTTGAAATCTCCAGATTGCTCAAAGTAAAAGCTGTCAGCGTCCGTGTATCGTCAATATCGTGTAGCGCTAGCGGACCGCCATGGCGCCATGTGGTTAGTTAGTAGTGATGGCGGAAAGAGTAAGTCAGTTTAAATTAATTAAAAATTTAAAATATCTTTCCAAAATACTTGCAGAGAGATGAGTGAAAAAAGCAGAGAGAGAAAATAAGTAAAGAAAAAGACGTCTCTGGCCCTAAAGAAAAGGAAGGTAAAAGAGAAATGCCAAAAAATGAAAATAATGATGGGGTGGGTATGGGGGGCGGATGGAGCCGTTGGGCCCAGGGAGGTAAAAATAAGAATCGGATAAAAATTGTGAGGTTTTGGTTCTTTCTGTTTTTTTTCCTCTCTCCTTTTTTTTCAGAAAATTTCATACCCATTCTCATATTGGCAAAATAAATAGTTCAGATTTAATCCACAGCCGACAACATAATAATCTAAATTTTCAATAATGTCATTCACAATCATTTCTACACGTTTTAATATTACTCCTGATTCTTAATATAAAAATTGAATAGTTAATTTAAAAATATTAAAAAAGTTAGTTAAAGTTGTTATTTTTCACAAATATATGTTAGTTTCTTTAAACTGTCATCTTCAATCACGTATATTGGATGATTATAATCATCTATTGGAGGAAACCTCTCATAATCAATGGGAATATTTTAAGAAAAAAAATTTAGGTTTTATATTTTAACATATTAATTATGTAAATAATAGTTTAGTTAGAATTTAGTTAGCATACAGCTGTAAAATAGCTAACATCCTCACGTGGCTTACTGTATATATAAACACTTGTACTGATCAGTTTGTAAATAAGACAAAACCATTCAGTTTCTCTCTTTCACTTTATTCATTTTCTGTATTATGGTATCAGAGCTCACATGCTCTCTGCGCCATTGATTTCGTTTCCTTTCTTCCCTTTTGTTTCCTTGATCTATGGCTACGAATAATTCTTCCTCTTCTTCCTCGGATTAGTCTTAAGATCGAACGAGCTATTTTTACTTGCATCCGAATCAAAACCCATCGCTTATTCTCGTTTCTCCTCCTCTCACTGGTTCGAATTACCATCACTGGGCACGAGCCATGACTATGGCTCTCATGAGCAAGAATAAATTTCAATTTGTCGATGGTTTTTTGAAGATTCCTGAGAAGAATGATTCTCTATTTCCGGTGTGGCAACAATGTAACACCATGGTCTTAACCTGGATAAATCGAACGCTCTCTTCTTCAATTGCATAGAGTGTGATATGGATTAACAAAGCAGTTAACGTCTGGAATGATCTGAAAGAGCGTTTCAGTCATGGCGATATTTTCAGAGTTGTTGAGCTTCAAGAGGAACTCTATCAGTTTCGTCAAGGTGATCTTTCTGTCTCTGATTACTTCACCAAAATGAAGATTATTTGGGATGAATTGTTGAATTTCCGTCCCCTGCCTAATTGCTTGTGTTCTGCCAAGTCTAACATTCAACAAGACTATGTAATCCGATTCCTCAAAGGTCTCAATGACCGATTCTTAAATGTTCGATCTCAAATTATGTTGATGGATCCGATTCCTCCAATGAACAAAGTTTTCTCCCTTATCATCCAACAAGAACGAGAGTTGAATGGATATACTGAATCCACTATATGTTTCACTCGAACATCCAGACCACCGAATCTGTCTTCTACTTAGTCTAATGGATTGGGCAATAATAACAATAAAGTCTGTACATATTGTGGAGAACCACGGCACATCGTGGAAACCTGCTACAAGAAGCATGGATATCCACCTGGTTTCAAATTCCGAAACAATGGAGCTTCTATCCATAATATTGTGAAGTCTGATTCTTCATCCGCTGAGGTTTTTCCTTACGCACCCCTTTCTGCCAATACTGATAGTCCTATTACTCAAAATCAATACCAAAAATTATTGGCTCAGCTACAACCTCCCGCTGCATCTCAGTTCCCTGTATCTTCTCCTTCCCTTGTTTCTGCACCTAATTCTACTCATCATGTTAATCAAATGTCCTCTCTTACTCTTTGCCTAATCTTGATAAGCCAGGTACTCATACTGTTCTTTCTCTTCATTCTACACATGACTCATCCTGGATAATTGATAGTGGAGCTACGGCTCATGTCTGCTTTTCTTTATCCTTGTTTACATCTTATTCTAAAATTACACCTATTCGTGTTACCCTTCCTACTCATTCTGCTGTCATCACTACTATTTCTGGTACTGTTCAAATTACTGCTTCCATATGCTTAACCAATGTCCTGTATATACCTTAATTTCGTTTTAATATCATATCCCTTACTCAGATGACTATACAACTTCATTGTTGTCTTATATTTTTCTCTTCTTATTGCCTGATTCAGGATTTGAAGACATGGAAAATGATTGGTACTGCTAATGTTTCCCAAGGATTATACATGTTACAAAGTCACAATTCTTCAGCTGCTTGTGTGAATTTTGTTTCATCTTCTTCTACTTTTGATACAACTTCTCAATTTCATTTGTGGCATTATCATCTAGGTCATCTTTCTTCTTCTGTCTTAGACACTTTACATTCTCAATTTTCTTTTATTCCTTGTATATGACATGCTAAGAATTGTGATGTATGCCATTTTGCAAAGCAAAGAAAATTACCTTTTCCTACTAGTGTCACTCAGACTACTCATCTTCTGGAACTTGTGCATGCTGATATATGGGGTCCCTATCATGTTGAATCTATTCATGGTCACAAATATTTCTTAACTGTTGTTGATGATTATACACGTCATACTTGGGTCTGTCTTCTTAAAGCCAAATCTGAGGCTCGTCCATCTCTTCAAAAACTTCTTATTTTTCTGGAAAATCAATTTAATCAGACTGTTAAAACTGTTCGAACTAGTAATGGTCTTGAATTTCAAATGGCTTCATTTTATTCTTCGAAGGGTGTTTTAAATCAAACCTCTTGTGTTGAAACTCTAGAGCAAAACAATGTAGTTGAAAGAAAACACCAACATATTCTCAATATTGCTCGGGCTTAATGTTTCAATCTCATTTGCCTATTATTTACTGGTCTTATGCCATTTTACATGCTGTTTAGTTTACTCAATCGATTACCTTCTCCTGTTTTAAAGAATAAATCTCCCTTTCAATTACTCCATCATAAATTCCCTGATTATACTACACTTAAAGTTTTTGGATCCCTTTGTTATGCATGCACATCTTCTCAGCAACGTACTAAGTTTGACACTAGGGCCCACAAATGTGCTTTTCTTGGTTTTAAACAAGGGACAAAAGGTTACATCCTTCTTGACTTACACACCAATCAGATTTTCATTTCACGACATGTCATTTTCTATGAATCCATCTTTCCATTTGCTACAACCTCTACGCCCGTTTCTTTTCCTACTTCAACTGTTCCTATGCCTCAATTTTTCACTCCTGTTGATGATCCTATTTCTTTAACAGTTCCTTCTCTACCTACTACTACCATCCCTTCTAACTCTGTTATTTTTTCATCTTCCCCTTCTGTTCCTGATCATGTTTCTTCTTCATCTTCTTCTTTGTCACCTTCTACTCAACACTCTTCTCCGTCTACTTCTTTACCAGCTCCTGTTCCTTCTCGTCGTTCTGGTAGAACCATCAAGCAGCCTTCATACTTAAGTGACTATCATTGTTTTTTTATTAAAAACATACCAATCGGCTTCCATGTCTCCAACCTGCAGGTATCCTTTACAAAGTGTTCTCTCCTATGATCATCTATCTTCTTCATATAAACATTTTGTTTGTTCCATTACTGTTCCTCATGAACCAAGATCTTACAATGAAGCCATCAAATTCCCTGAATGGTAACAGGCCATGCAAGTTGAAATTTCAGCTTTAGCGCAAAACCACACTTGGATATTAACTGAGTTACCTAAGGATAAATCTCCTATTGGCTGTAAATGGGTGTTCAGGACAAAATTTCATGTTGATGGAAGTCTTGAGCGTTACAAAGCCCGCCTTGTTGCAAAGGGGTATACTCAAGCAAAAGGAGTTGACTATTTTGACACTTTCTCCCCAGTTGCCAAAATGACCACTGTACGTCTCTTACTTGCCATTGCTGCAGCATCTCATTGGCATTTAGAACAGCTAGATGTGAACAATGCATTTCTACATGGGGATTTAACTGAGGATGTCTACATGACCCTTCCTCTAGGATTTTCATCTCCTAACCCCAAACTAGTCTGCAAACTACAAAAATCACTTTATGGCTTAAAACAAGCATCTCGACAGTGGTTTGCCAAGTTATCCACACTTTTACTTCATATGGCTACAGCCAATCCAAATATGATTATTCTTTATTTGTTTATAGCTACCACACCCCCTTCACTGCATTATTAGTTTATGTCGATGACATAATACTTGCAGGTAATGATCCTAGTGAAATTGAGCATATCAAGACTTTTCTTGATCAATCTTTTAAGATCAAAGATCTTGGCAAACTCAAATTCTTCCTTGGTCTTGAAGTTGCTCGTTCCTCTTCTGGCATAGCATTGAACCAGCGTAAATTTGCTCTTGATATTCTCTCTGATGCTGGTTACCTTGCTTGCAAACCTGTATCCACTCCAATAGACAAATCCACACGATTATCCAAAGACCATGGGACTCCACTTAATCACATAGCAAGTTACCAAAGATTAATTTGTCGTCTGCTTTATCTGACAACAACTGGACCAGACATTTCCTATGCTGTCCAACAACTTTGTCAATTCACTCAGGCCCCAACTACAATTCATTATCAAGTTGCACTTCGTGTTTTGAGATATCTTAAACAAAACCCAGGGAAAGGGCTTTTCTTTCCTTCTTCATCCACTTTCAAACTCAAGGGTTTTAGTGATTCTGATTGGGCAGGATGTCCTGACACTCGCAAATCTGTCACTGG